TAGGGTTCAGGGTATAGGGTTTAGGGTTTAGGGTTCAGGGTTCAGGGTTCAGGGTAAAGGGTTTAGGGTTTAGGGTTCAAGGTTCAGGGTCTTAGGGTTTAGGGTAAACCCTGAACCCCCCCAAAATCTATGTGGATCCTTTGGTCGTAGTGTTATGTGTTTCTGGGTCCCTTATACCCCCTCCCCAACCCAACCCTGAAGCCCCAAACCCAAACCGTAACCTCCTCAAACCCTGAACCCTAAACCCTAAACCCTAAACCCTAAACCCTAAACCCTAAACCCTAAACCCTAAACCCTGGCCCCGCCTCCGGGGAATTGTGCTCCAAGCCAGCACTGGCCGCCGATTGGCAGACGGTTTGCAGGCAAACTCTGCCAGACCTTATGGCTTCAAGGCTAGGGTTTAGGGTTTAGGGTTTAGGGTTTAGGGTTTAGGGTTTAGGGTTTAGGGTTTAGGGTTCAGGGTTCAGGGTTCAGGGTTTAGGGTTTAGGGTTTAGGGTTTAGGGTTTAAGGTTTAGGGTTTAGGGTTCAGGGTTTCGGGTTTCGGGTTTCGGGTTTAGGGTTTAGGGTTTAGGGTTTAGGTTCTTACACCTGAAGCTAAACCCTAGGCCAGGCTAAACCCTTAAATTTCTAATCAGGGTCTTCAGAAGGCATTGGGTTCGAGGTCTAAGGCTCAAAAGCATAGCTTCGAAGCTAGTAAAGGCCGGCAAACACTCCACGAAAACATGCGCCGCAAGCGCCTGACAGTTAAGCACCAACAATGCACCCCAAACAACTAAATCTAAAAGCCCCAAAGCCCTTCAAGACTTCCGCCCAACAAAACCTTCATCCTAAACCATCAATCCTAAGCCCTAAACCCTAAACCCTGAAATACCCTGAACCCTAAAGCTTAACCCCTAATCCCGAAACCCTAAACCCTCCTAAACCCTAGACCCTAAACCCTAAACCCCAAACCCTAAACCCTAAACCCTAAACCCTAAACCCTAACCCAAGACCCAAAAGAAAGTCTCGGACCCCTGAGCCCCAAGGCCCTTCTGGGTCGAACAGGCCGAAGACCTCCCGGAGCCCCTGCACCTGTTTCGGATGTAGGGTTTAGGGTTTCGGGTTAGGGTTTAGGGTTTAGGATTTGGGGTTTAGGGTTTAGGGTTTAGGGTTTAGGGTTTTGGGTTTAGGGTTGACCGTTTAGGGTTTAGGGTTTAGAGCTTGGAGCACTTGGGGGCTTAGGGTTGTGGCTTGGGGGTAGAACTAGGGCTTGGAGTTTGGGTTTGCGTTGGGGGCCTCGGGTTTAGGGATAAGGTTTGGGGTTTAGGGCTTAGGGGTTTAAGACTCATGCTAGGGTTTGGGCAAGAAGCAGACAGTACTGAAAGCGCTCAGGTCCATGTGGCTTTTTGTCTTGGGGGATACAGACATTTGATTGGGGCTTGGGGCCCAGGTGCTTTTTGGGTTTTGGGGGCAAGGAATCTTAGAGTTTTGGATAGGGCTTTGGGGAGTTGGTTGGAGGTTTGTTGGTTTGGGTTTCCGGTTCTAGGCCTTTGCCCTCCCCACCCCCTCGCGCAAGGTTCTCCCAAGCCAGTAGTCTCTAATTTTTTTTTGGGGGGGGGTAGGTTTGGGGTTGGATGACTTCCTAAACCCTACGCGCTGGCGGAATGTAAAGGCCTAGTGAGTATTTGAGTAGTTTTTGCTTCATATTGCAGTTATACTGCCCTAAACCTAACCCGAAACCCTAAACCCTCGGCCCTAAAAACACAAAACGGGAACTGGTGGAGGGGGGACGTTTCTCTAAACCCTGGGCTTGGGTTTAAGCGCTTAGGGCTTCGGGCTCGGGGGGCTTCGCGCTTGGGGCTCAGGGGCGTTTCGGGTTTAGGGTTTAGGGTTTTGGGTTTAGGGTTTAGGGTTTAGGGTTATTCTGCCTTGGGTAAAAGAATGTTGCGTGGTCCTGCCTGCTGCTCTGTTAAGCCTGCGCGAATTGGAACGCACACTGTTCCAAGCCCACCTGGCAGATCACCGTTGAAAGGCTGAAGGTCTTCGGGTTCATGGTTCAAGGTTGAAGGCTTAAGGTGCTGGACTGTGTAGTTTGATGGGGCATTCTTCAACATGTGTTGGCTAATCCAAGAACTCGTGATTTTGCTGGCATCCGCCTATGTCCGCTTGTCGACTTCGACGTCTTTTGCTTGGCGACAGTTGGCCTTCCAATGTTCAAGTTGCATCTGCAAGCATGCTCCTACAGCTAGCGTCACATCCCTAAACCCTAAACCCTAAACCCTAAACCCTAAACCCCAAATCCTAGTGCTTGGGCCGACACTTCCATGTGTCTGGCTTGGTTCGACGTCGAACAACACCTCAGTCACGAAGAAACACTGGAAACCTACTGTTTGGCTTGACTTTGGATCAAAGGCAACGGACACTCATGTGGAAGAAGCTCCCTCAAACGTATCTTAAATGGATGGCAGTGGAAAATTCGGCGTCGCCTCGGGAATTCAACGCCCAGGGACGCAAGGGAACAGCACAGCGCTGCCCCAAACAACTCTCAGGGCAAGACTTTGCGCAGAGTCACGTCCGCATCTACTGGAGGGTCTTCCTGGATCAGATGCCGGCACTCGGGTTGTTGCACACCAGACAATGCACTGCCGGCTGCTCCTCGCAGCTTCTAAGTCAGGGGCTTTGGTGGTCTTGAAAGCGCTTGTAGGTTTGGGGTTTGGGTTTACGGTTTCGGTTTTTGCCGAAAACCTTGGCAAGATAGGGCCACAGTAAGTCAACTGCACAACGCACCTTGGCTTCACCGTCGCTCGACAGTGTATCAGCCGCGGCCTTAACCACACAAGAAGCCGGGCGCGTCACTTCAAAAACAGTGAGTCATCCAAACTGCCTCGGTCACAACATCCAGCTCGAGTTTTGCATCTTCCGACATCTGGTTGCTAAACACTGCTGCTTCATGGTTGGTGGAGGCTCAGCAGTTTGACTTCGATGTGGCCTTGTATTGGCATCATCGTGCATCATGGGCCAAGTCATGAAAGCCCTGTAAGCCAAAATGAATGCTGGAGCAGGCGCTGTACGAATGCGACGTGCTGGAACATAAAACAACACTGTCGCAGGAGGTGATGATGTCCATCCTGGCAGTTGCAGGCATCTTGCTGACGTGCCGCTGTTGCTAGCCCCAAAGAGAATGGCGCTAGCTGGTGTTGGACACTTGGCGCGTGGTGTATATCAAGTACATCAAGTGCCAAGCACAGGTGATGGGTGAATGCAGTTCAAATGCATCAGCAATCTCCCCACCATTACCACCATTCCCACAATTCCCCACCATACCCACCATCACCCACTATTCAAAACCATTACCATTCCCACACCCGCCATTCCCACATTCCTTTGTCATTCCCAGCATTACCCACCATCACCCACCATTACCCAATTCCCACCATTACGCGCCATTGACCATCACTAGCCAAGTATCGCACCATCACCCACCATTCCCACCACAACACGCTCAGGTCGCAGTGTTGTCTAGCAATGGCACCTACAAGTGCGCATCCAATCATCCTAGTTGACATCTCAGTCAGTACCAGCACCTTCATGTTTGGTGCTTTGGGCTGGTGTTTAACGCAACTACCAGTGGCGACGCTTGCAGCCAACGGGACGATGACAAGCATCTTTGCCTGCTGTGTTTGTGTTACACCTCGCGTCATCCGGCAATGTGGACATTCCAACCAATTTGGAAGGTGTCCGTGCAGCCGGCACAATTCCACCTTTTCCTTCATCTTGGTGCTCATAGCAGCCATGTTCCAACCTCCAGGTTGGTAGGTCTGTTTCTTCATCCAGATTCATACGCTTGACTTGAGCTCGACCAAAGGAACCTTCCAGGAAAATCCAAGGACAACCACCCCAGGCCTCACGGTATCCAATGATACCTTTCTTCGCACATCGCAATGATATGTCTTTGTTGGAAAACTTCACTGCCCAGCCCGCATGCAGGAAACCAAGGTGAACCGACCATCCCCAAGCACGAAATCAAGAACCCCAAAGGTTAGCGCAAGCCGAAACCCAAAGAAAAGCCGAAAAGCAAGGGCAAAGGAAAGACTGTCGCTGAGGTCGACCAAGAAGGGGCCGAAGGTGATTTGACAGGCGGACTGGCGGAGAAGAGCGGACCGAGCCTGAATCTGAGTCCAATGTGCATGCAGGAAGTTGCGGGAGAAACCAAGAAGGATTTGATCCCGTGCACTGAGGATGCCTTCGACTGGGACAAAGAGACGCTATGAAGGTTCGCTTGGCCGAGTTAGAGCGCCAGATTGAAGCTGACTTAAAAAAAGTTGCCTCAAAAGGGCAAAAAAGTCAGTACGATATTGATAATAATAAGGCACGAATTCCGGGATACCCCGTGAGCACACATTAGTAGTAATATTGGCATTTTCCCGTGTTCTCTTTTACTTGTTCATGATTGTCATAACTTTTAGTACGCACGGTAACCGAATAAGTGTACGAAATGAACGCACGCGTGCCTTTTCCCCTCGCTTTCTACTATTTTTGCAGCATTCAGAAAATTGTATGGGCCTTTTATCTGTTTTACTGGCCCGTTAATAGATAAAACTACTAAAAGGGCATATAATTTAATATAAAATTTAAAAAATATCTGGATTGCTTAACGCGGTGAAAGCGAGCAGGCGCTGCCGGTCACTGGTGCAAATGTCTGCAAAAAGCCTGGATCTCAACTCCTCGGCTTTTCTCTGAACCCTACCCCGTTGCCACGACTTGATCCATCGCGGAGCCCTCAAAACCCTGGACCCCAAACCCTGGAAATTGCAAGAGTCTCCCACACTCTGGGCTGAGAGCCGGGGGCCCAAGAGCGGCGTGCGCCTGATATCCGGAGCCTTCGAAATTGCGACGGGATTTTTGGGGCTTTTGAGGTTTAGTGGGAGGGTTTGTAGGAGCCCTCGCCCCCTTTGGCGGGGAGGCACCTGCCAGAGCTCGGGCTCTGCAGGGGCTTTTTGCCGGCTCCTTTGCAGCGAAGTCAGTCGTGCAAGCAGCCCGTCGTAAGATTCCATATGTGGGATTCACATGTGTGGGCTTTGATTAATTTGGTGAGAACCCAAACTAAGGCAGTGAGACCCAGGAGCAGGGTCACGAAGCCTGCGGCTTGGGTCCATGGTGGTTGGGACGAGGCCGCAAGAACCCCTTCCAGCAGCTTCCTCGGGTGTGCTTGGGGGGGCGAAGAGGGGCCTAGGTTCGAAAAGGGTGTGTTTGGGGGATGCGGCGGGAGGGGGGTTTCGGGGGCCAGGTGAACTGCAGCCGGGCTTCTTGCTGGCCGCTGCAATCCCCAGCGCCATGCTGGCGAGCAGTTTGATTCGCCCGGCGTCGCTGAGCTGGTCGAATATGATCGCATAAAAGCTCGCCTGGCCAGACGTGACTGCTGGGACACCAGAGAAGACACTATAGAGGCGGCTCCCACAGCGATTTCCCCCCGCCCCTTGTGTGAGCGCCGCCCTGCAGTGGCCTGCAAATAGAGTTGGACGAGATTCTCCAGCAGGACTTTGGTGATGTTGGTAACGAACGTCCTCGGCGCGGGCTTGCGGGTTCGGGGACAGCGGCGGGCTCCTCGTGTGCGAGAACCCCCCATAGAAAGCACAAACAAGATCTTTTTTGAAGCTGAATAAACTCCGCAAATCCCCACCCACCGCTCCCCGAAGCGCGCTCCGCTCCCTCGCCCCCTTTGTGACACACAGCTTTTGCCAGGCGTCTTCAAGCCCTTTGTTCCTCCTGGCTTCCCATCGCAGAAGGCGGCCACGGCGCCCATCCCGGCCTTTATAGAAGCAGGCGCTCGGTCTCTCGACACACCCTCTGCATCTCGGAGCAGAGTACCTCTGCAAGAGACCCCGGCTGCGGATATATCCGTATCGTCCACTACTATTTACACACTGCGCGCAGCAGCGCGCTGAACCCAAAAAATGCGACACCCCCGCTCCCCCCCTCTCAAATGAAGGGCGCCGTGTCCGCTGCGAGGGCCGTGTCGACGAGCGGCTGCGTCCGCCTTGGCCAGCGGGCACAGTGCGGCTGCTGCCGCCTCTCTCGAAGGCTTCGCACGCTGCCCTGTGTCGGTCCCTTACTAGACGAGACGCCCGGTCGCGAGAGCCTGCTGGGCGCCCGCGGCAGCCCCGAAGGCCAGGAGCAGCACCTGACCCAGCGAGGCGGGAGCCGAAGCCACAAAGGACAGGGAGTGGAATGACTCGAGGCTGCAATAAGTTCGGGAGTTGGGACGCCGTGTACTCATCAGCTCTATATACAACAACGCTGACCTCGGACTATAGTTATATCGGTTAACTGTAGCTACTCTGATGTTGACATGCCGGGGTCCCACGACGCTGTCACACCCACCCACCCACCCACCCACACACACACACACACACACACACACTTTGGCTTGGCATGAACTGATGCAGTGATCACGGTACCAACATGTACCAACCACCAGACCCACAACACACTCAAGAGGAGTCAAGAAGAAGGGAAGAATGAAAAGGAGCATGGTTGCCTGCCTCGAGCGGCAGCTCCTGTTGCCAGTTGTGGTATCCAAGGCCCATAAATCCAAGGTGCTGGCGATCCAAGGCACAGCGGTGCGATCATCGAGATGGGAATTTTGGGACTTCAGGGTACATGATGTCACAAAAAGTGTGGTGGATACCAGCTGCAACGGCGTTGCCCAGGTACTCCACATGCAGGTACGTCCAGGTGATCAGCCTGGATATCCTCCCAACTCATAAGCAGCTTCATTGGCAGTGAGCGTATGAGCGGGTCACTGCCCCCTGCAAATGGAAATGTCAGTCACAGCGATCACCATGTTCAGGCGTTTACACACACACACGCCCCGAAGGGCGAAAAGGACGCGAAGAAGCAAGCAGGTGTCAGCAAGCCAGTCATGAACAGCAACAAGAGAGGAGGCAGAGACAACAAAACCGGAACGACACCAGGAGGCAACAAGAAACGCGAAATCAACAAAACAGGGGGTCAGACAGCATCATGGGAGGACAGTCAATGACATGTCTGTTTAAGGATTCCGGATACCATGAGCGCGTGCCTACCTGGTCCTCCTACCTGCACATGCACAGACGACCTGCCTGCACTCCTGATGATCCCGATGAAGCCCACTGTGGGCACATGTCATCCTACTGCAGATGATCCCGATGGATGAGAACAAGCGTCTGCAACGTTGTGATTCACTCATCCGCTATCGCGGGCTCGGGCACATGCCCCTGAGATCTGGCCCCCTGTCGGGAAAAAACCAGAACTGGTACACACTTTGGCTTGGCATGAACTGATGCAGTGATCACGGTACCAACATGTACCAACCACCAGACCCACAACACACTCAAGAGGAGTCAAGAAGAAGGGAAGAATGAAAAGGAGCATGGTTGCCTGCCTCGAGCGGCAGCTCCTGTTGCCAGTTGTGGTATCCAAGGCCCATAAATCCAAGGTGCTGGCGATCCAAGGCACAGCGGTGCGATCATCGAGATAGGAATTTTGGGACTTCAGGGTACATGATGTCACAAAAAGTGTGGTGGATACCAGCTGCAACGGCGTTGCCCAGGTACTCCACATGCAGGTACGTCCAGGTGATCAGCCTGGATATCCTCCCAACTCATAAGCAGCTTCATTGGCAGTGAGCGTATGAGCGGGTCACTGCCCCCTGCAAATGGAAATGTCAGTCACAGCGATCACCATGTTCAGGCGTTTACACACACACACACACTTGATGCGTTAGGTTTGCTTGCCAGGGAGTTGTAGTTGATGCTGTATCCGAGGATGTTATACTGGGACACGCCACAGACACACACACACACAGACAGAGACACACACAGACACACACAGACACACACAGACACACACAGACACAGAGACACACACAGACACACACAGACACACACAGACACACACAGACACACACACACAACACACACACACACACACACGCACGCACGCACCGCGCACGCAACACACGCGCACGGCGCACGCGCACGCGCACACGCACGCGCACGCACGCACGCACGCACGCACGCACGCGCACACACGCACACACGCACGCACACGCACACGCGCACGCACACGCGCACGCGCACACGCACACGCACACGCACACACACACACACACACACACACACACACACACACACACACACACACACACACACACACACACACACACACACACACACAGAGAGAGGAACACGAACGAGAATCTGACTAAGAAGCCACGGCATGCGGCCCCTTGTCACGCCCAGGCGCTCCCCAGAACCGCAGCCATCGCACCACCGGTGCCAGGGGCCAGGCCCAGGAGGCCTCCACGGGAAGGTGAAAGGCACAGCCCTACAAGTGCCCGCAGGTCGCAATGTTCTTGAACCCAAGGCCGTGGACGGCCGCAAGGAGCTAGTTATTCTACCGCAGGGTTGTAGGGCAGGGGTCAAGGCTTTGCTCAAGAAGATGGCGTATATATCAAGGAATCAGGGCCCAAACACTTCGCGATGGCCACCAAATAATGTGACAATTAGGAAAATGAAGGCGGGCCACGAGAAGCCTCCGTTCTCAAAGGCGCAAATTCCGCCAACTTTCTCACAACAAGAAAGCCCAGAATAACTGACGGAATCAACGATAGCGAATGAGCGCCACTTCATTATGAGCGGACGGCGTTCTGATGGGAGCTGGCTGGTTGGGGGTCGGGGCTGCGGGATGGATCCAGGCATTTAAATGTAGATATGCTCACACATATCTTGACAAGGCAGAGAACGAACTGTATACAAATTGGGGAGCATGCAGACGGCATTTCCTGAGTTCACTACTGCTGACAACAGATCTGTGCTTGTTATCGCGGAGAGTACGCCTCGAAAGCCGTGACCCATGCCTCTGTTGCATCCGGATCACACTGGAAAGCCTTCACAGGGGCCGGGCACGACAGTGAGAGAGCTCGCTCAGAAAGGACTGCGAGCTAGGCGGGGTTCCTGAAACCAGTGCCACGCACAGCACTACCGAGAAGCATGCCTCTGGCAGGACTCCTCCTGAACCCCTGTTGAAAGACACACTGGAAACACGCTGCCTGGATGGGCATGGCTCCATCCGTAAACCAATCTGCATGTTCGAGGACGCCCATGGTGAAGTCAAAGATGACTCCAAACGTCACCGGCACCTCCGCAAAACAGGAAAGCAGGAGGAATCCATCGACACTCCTAACCCATTATTTGTTTATACATATATGTATATATATATATATATATCTATCTATATATTACAGATGCTTTGCCAGCCTCCCCGCCATCCCTCCCGAGCTGCGGACCTGCAGCCGCACCAGCAACTGGACCTCGACAGCTTTGTTGTAGACCAAAAAGGGCAGGTACAGGCCATAAGCCCAGAGCGGCAAGCCTCCGGCGCAGCTCGTCCAGGCGGCCGCGGCCAGTGGCACCAACACCACCAGCAGCATGAGCCGTGCTTGCATGCGCACAACACGCCCTTGGGCGTGGAGCTCCTTGAGGAGCTCCCCATGGCTGCGGGGGGCTTCCACCAGGTTGGCCTGCTCTTCCTCAGGCTCCTTTACGGCGCCATTACGACAATCAAAAATCGTACTCTCAATGGTCACCACCCAGCAAACGCATTGGCATGCCACGCAGGTGAACCCGACCACCAACGCCACAACGACGCACTCCCAGGTCCAGGCCATTGCGCGAGGGTCGCAGACCTGGCAACGACTCTCACTATGCAGGAACCGGGCACCTGTGGCTGCAAGAATGTTGTTCTTCCCCACTGCCTCCGGTCAGCGGTGCATTGCTCATGCCAGAGGCACCGACTTCATCATATACGCGTGTTTGAACTCGGCAAGGTCTATGAACCCTTAACCCCAATCACGTAAACTCTCAATCTTCCGCTCAGCGGAGTTGCTAGCTTCCGCAGCCTCGCCAATTCGAGGCGGCCAAGCTGCACAACAAGACAGGGTTTGGGCTTCGGGTTTAATTTAGGGTTCAGCGTTTAGGGTCCAAGGTTTAGGGTTCGGGGTTATAAGGTGCTTGCGGCTGGTTTTGTTCGGTTTTCAGATTCAGGGACGGCTGCAAGGGGCTTTTACCCTCCCGAAGGCCCAAAAAAACACCGACCCGACTAGTGTACGGAGCTTGGGGGATAAATGAAATTCTGCAAATGGGATTGTAGACTACAGTATAATCAAAAGGTATTTTTCTATACAGTTTGAACTCATAAACCCCGATAGAATTAGAACCTTAAAACTTCTACATGCTATAACAATGTCTTTTCACTTTTTAACTCTGCGAGGCTTTAGGCAGGCAAACTACATGAAGACGAGATCTGCCTTTACGAAAAGCCTTGCGGGCTTGAGAATAATGTAACATAGCACAGAAAATAAAGCGAGGCTTTGCTACAGGCATTCTTGCAAAACAGAGGAAAGGCAGAGTCTAGTTTTGCATACTGAAATATGGCGTGGCAAGAGATTTCCATAGTAGAGTGAAAGAATAGAGTGCACTACTTAGAGCTAGCTAGGTTTCTGGGCTTCAAGTTACAGTGCAAAAGGAAAACATACATTTGTTCCCCTAAAGGGCGATCCATACCTAAACCCTAGACCCTAAAGCACCATCCCTTTCCACATCCACAGAGCGCGGGGTTGCGCACCAACCAGCCAGCCCGCAGAGAACGCGGAAAATGACGAATTGCAGCTAAATTTGGGTTTCCTTGTAAATCGTTGAAAACTCCCAGTAAGCTCAGAAAAAATGGGAAACAGCAGTCCCTGAAATCCGAAGCAAAAGTCCGCAATCTAAACCCTAAATACTAAACCCTAACCTCAGCGCCCCAACACAAGGAAGCAGCTGTTTGTCACCGGAAGCACGCATGCAACCAACTACATGAACCTGCGCTAGCAGTTTAGGGTTTAGGTTTTAAGGTTAGGATTTAGCCAAGTTAGGGTTCATCTATCCGTGGTGGAGCGTGTCGTGATAGTATCCGCAAAGGACAATCTATATATATATATATATACATATACATATTATGCCGGCGTAGACCCCAAACAGTAAAGAAGGCCAGAAGAGCACCGACACTCCCGGGGACAAAACGTACAAAAGTTCGTGGGGGCCGAATTCCCTTGGGGTCAAAAAGACGCCAACCACTGGGGGATTCGGCTTTGCACGCGTGTGGAACTTGGGGTCAAAAAGGCCCGTGGCCAACCACTGGGGCCTGAAGAGGCCACAAGAGGCCGGAACGGAATTCGCGCGAAACCACAGCGCGAGCCTTGAAACGAAGGCCCCGCCCCACCGTTGCTGCCCGCAACCTAAGTGGCCCCTCCCAGAAGTGGCCAGAAGAGGCTCGAGCAAGCCAGAAGAGGCCGGAATTCACGCGAAACCACAACGCAACGCAGCGGGAGCGTGGAAACGAAGGCCCCGCCCACCGCGTGCGCCGTTGCGGTCGGCAACCTGAGCGACTGAGCGGCCCCCCCAGAAGAGGCCTGAAGAGGCCACGAGAGGCCGGAATTCGGCCGAAACAACACAGCGGGAGCATCGAAACGCAACGGAATTCACGCGAAACCACAGCGGGAGCATCGAAACGCAACAGAATTCGCGCGAAACCACAGCGGGAGCGTCGAAACCAAGGCCCCGTCCCACCGCGTGCGACGTTGCGGTCGGCAACCTAAGTGGCCCCCCCAGAAGAGGCCTGAAGGGGCCACGAGAGGCCGGAATTCACACGAAACCACAGCGGGAGCATCGAGATGCAACGGAATTCGCGCGAAACCACAGCGGCAGCATCGAAACGCAACGGAATTCGCGCGAAACCACAACGGGAGCGTCGAAACCAAGGCCCCGTCTCACCGCGCACGCCGTTGCTGTCGGCAACCTAAGTGGCCCGCCCAGGGCCTGAAGACTGCCTGAAGAGGCCACGAGAGGCCGGAATTCGGCCGAAACCACAGGGGGAGCATCGAAATGCAACGGAATTCGCGCGAAACCACAGCGGGAGCATCGAAACGCAACGGAATTCGCGCGAAACCACAGCGGGAGCGTCGAAACCAAGGCCCCGTCCCACCGCCGCGCGCGCTGAACGTAAGAACCCCATTGCGCAAGCACTGTTTGGGGAATATATGTATATATGTATATGTTTATGGTCGCCCCCCCCCCTCAAGATCCACCCCCATTATTTTGTTCTCAAATTCACACCATGAATATATTCTCCATCCTGTCTATCACTCAGTACTACACTTTCAATCCAGTCGATCCATTTTCCGAGGAAGGGCACAGAACTGATCGCCTTTCTGTCTCATTGGGCGCAAAACACGAAAAGCCCCTGCAGGCATGTGAAGAACGGATTTCCTTGCTAAACTCAGAGGTTCCGCCTAAGTAAGCGTCCTGTCAGTGGGTGAGTCGAAGACTGAAGTGCGTGCAAGTACCGGGATGCAACGGCAAGTCGCTGAGGTTCGTGCTAAAGGGCACATGTCGGCCCTGCAGCTCCAGGCAAAAACTGGAAGTACGTAAATCATGCCCAGTGCGATGCCACACATCATCAGCAACCGCAAGCTTGATGTCGTCGACTGTTCCTGTAGCGGCCACTCTACAAAGCACAACATCCACAATCGGAACATTGGTGACCATCACCGCCAGCCACTGGACCCTCGATTCTCGGTGTGTTCTCATCAAGCAGAAGACGAGCTCGCAGCCTGTGAGATCGATGCATTCAGCTGATCACGCCTGGCTTGCAAGCGACCACGGATTTCCAGCTCCCTGTCTGCCAGAACGTCCTGAATTCGTTCTGCCACCATGACAAGTTGGTCCATACTCAATGTACGGACCCACATCTCAAACGCTCTCATCTGCAACGCAGTGACCCTGGGAGGTGCGTCCATTGCAAAGCAAGTTGAGAAGAAGCTTGGGCCGCCACACTACGAACTCAGGGGAGATGTGAGCCAGGTCGTAGGACTGTCACTGTACAACAGCACCGATCCTTCAACGCTGGGTGGGAGGGCGGGACTTTCTATTCTGCTCACCTGACTCTCCAGGTGCTCTCTCAGGCTGAGCCAAAATTTTCTCACACATTCCATGGTGAAAAATTTTGTCTCAAAATAAAGGTTTGTACTCAAGAGCACAATGCCCATATTTTGTTCTCAAATTCACACCATGAACATATTCTCCATCCTTTTTATCACTCAGTACTACACTTTCAATCCATTTTCCGAGGAAGGGCACAGAACCGATCGCCTGTCTGATGTGCAGGTCTTCTGTCTCATTGGGCGCAAAACACGAAAAGCCCCTCCTAGGTAAGGGGAGAAAAGAAGACAGAAGTCCCTTCCTCGGTCAAGTAGCCTGGTTAACAAAGCAGTGCGCTTGTCTTAACACCTCACGCAAAGTTTCCACAACAACGTCATCGTGAATCCTTCCAGAATTTGGAAGACCCAAGAAGCAGCCGCGACTCGGTGCATCATTTTTCATTCAAACGCGTTCACTGAGTCAGTGATTCTGCGGGCGCAACATATCACTGTGGATACGGCCATTAGGCGCGCCGGACATCATGCCCAACCCTGTCCCTAAACCGCTCTCTCATCAGCGGAGCTGCATATTACAGCTAGACAGGTGGTCAAGCCTACATGCCATGTACAAGGTTCACGAACTGTGCAGCCAGCAACTGGGCAGGCTTAAAGAAGAGGAGACCCTAGTGCTGGCTTACTGTGAAGGCAAGTAGACTGTGCACTGCGCAAGTCTCTACCATGGGCCGACCAACGGCGCCTCGAGCCCTGGAGGTCCGTAGTGTAGCAGAAAGCTGCAGCAAAACGGCTTTCTCGCACTTACTCACCATGAGTTGCAGCATAACCAACCACACCAACGTAGAACGCTGCTGCAGAAAGGCTTTCTCGCACTTACTCACCAAGAGCGACAGCGCCCATAGACACGCAGAGGAACCACAGCAATGAGTACTGGTTGTAGGAGCACAGCAATCGCGTGCTACAACAAACAAGAAGTGCTCAGCAGCAAGGAAGAAGGGGTCCTCACGCATATCCGAGACCATTGCCACCACGTAACATACTGCAGAGGAGCCAGAAGAGCATGTTCAACTTCTCTGAAAATGGGTGCCCACGCAAGCCAATAAACGGCCAGACCGTCAAAGGTAGCTGCAGCAGGCTTTCTCGCGCTTACTCACCACAAAGCCACAGCACTTTCACCCGTTCGCAGAGAAACTGCCCAGTTCTGACAGGCGAATCCTCGTCACCAACTCATTGGCCTGCTCTGTCAGACCAAAAGATGCTGCAGCAGCAACACGGCTTTCTCGCTCTGACTCACCATGAGCCACAGCACCAGGGGATGACTTGACGCAGCGTCTTCAAAATTGCAAACGATAGTGCAGGGGCCGAGAGGTCAGCACCCATCCCATCCAAACCAATTCGTAGACCGGCACGATGTCCGGCGCCATGCGCCCCCCGCCATCTTCCCACCCGAGGGAAGCCGTGCGCTGTCAGCACGATGTAAAGGTCACTCCTCCATGGGGGGCCCGGAGGAAACCCTCATGCCAGCCATCTGAGTGTCCTGCTGTAGTGTACTCGGAGTAGATGGCTCCCGGACTTGGGACCGGGACGAGCTCAAACAATGTATAGGAGTAGTCATCGCCCCAAACTGCGCGGCCTCGCATGCCCATGAAAAGGTTTTTCGGCGCCCCAAAGGGGGCCGAAATGTAGCAGCAGCATAC